AATGTATGAGATATGTCCTAAAATATTGTTAGCTAGTCTGAGTTATATATTGTCCTTTAGAATAATGCAATTTAACTTTTTCTTCTTTATCTTATTTCGGCTAAAGGAGTGTAAGGTAAAACAATTTTCAAATTGTCAGCAATTGAGCATTGATACATGAATGTGATTATATTTAAAGATACTTTTCTTAGATCATATTGGAATGGTATGGATTACACTTGTCATAATGTAGCCAAGGTAATTTAAGGCAAGTAGCACCATTCCATCCCAATAAAAGTCCTGATTGGCAACTGCCTTCATTCATGGCAAATATTAACAGAGTTTTTATTTCTTACTTGCTTTTTTTATTTTTCATTATTGTCATTACAGAATAATTTTCAAAGAAAATGCACTAAAAAAACACCTTCAAAGAGGTTGAAGGTGCCCCATCATCTATCAGATATAGCTTGATACATATTTATTTGTATAATTTACATGATAGCATCATAATTACAGGAAGTAAAACAAAAATTTCACTCTTTTGTTTATTATGAGATAGTGTTTCATACCATAAACAGCCATCAGGGAAAAAGTCAATTTCATTTTTAGGTTCAACAGACTAAATGGATGTGGTGCTACAGGTGTTATTGGTACCTTGAAAGTATCAGTTTTAATTTTTTGAATAATGATAATGGTGAGGTAATTATTGCAGTAGGCCAATTTCAACAAAATTGTAATACCACTTCTAATCTTGGTATTAATGATTTTTTTTCTTTTTCTTTTTCTTTTTTTATCTTAAATTATCTTTGGTGGGTTTATTTACAGAAAATTGGAAAACAACATAAGTTCAGCTACTGGCCACCCCTAATGTGCCAGAATCCTTCACTAATGACAAGTGTATTGAAGGACCCCTCACCATCAGTGAGAATGGCTTCACTGCAAGTCATAAATACTTTCCTTCTTGATTCTTCACAAGTTCTTACACTTGCTGTGGATGAGTGAGTTCATTTCAGTATAACTTTACAGGAAGCTTCACCTTGAACAGAAAATATTCCTGTATCCTAGATTTTGGTTGCATATTGTCTTTGAGTAATGGAAGTTTTGCTATATGGATTATCTTTTTTCCCCCCTTCAAACATGAGCCTAATTATTTTCGCATTTTGCTTTATGTGCAGTTTAGATGTTCTTTTTGAAATACAGAATCCAAAAAATATCTTATAAGATAATCTATTTATATTCCAGTGAAGGAAAAGGTTCTTATGCCACTCTTGGTCACCAACTAGGAACAAGCATCAGGGAGCTACATCGCTGTCTATCACTAGCCCTTCTATCTGAAAAGTTTCCAGGTGCTCTTGTCAGAACCTTGAAAACCATTGAACTGCTAGTTGAAAATGTTAATTACTCAAAGCTGAAACCAGGAATGTTGACAAAAATTGTTACACATGTCAAATACTTCATGAGATATAAAGGTAAGCATAACTTTGGGGAAATTTTTTTGGTACTGTAACAGTATATATGTATATCTAGACATAATACTTCAAGGAGTAGAATCAATTCTTTCTTTAAAAGTAGAGCACAGGATACACATAACCTACATAACCCGTAACACAATCTTATTTTTCTTACCAGAGGCTGTAGTCCGAGCCAATGCTTTTTCAGTGATGGTGAGTGTACTCATGATCAAGCCGCAAGTGCCTGAACTACAAGATATCCTTTTGCGCTTCAAGACCCCTGCTCCAGCGACATTAGTCTCCCCTCCTGAAGTCACACCCCCTTCACTCTTAGAAGAGGAACTTCCTGGGGAGGAGGAGGAGCTGGTTGACAATGAGAATGAGGAGGCAGAGTCTAAACTGGAGAAGAAAATGGCAATGATGAATTGGGTAGTTATCTTTCTTTTTTATGTATTTTTGATTTCCCCTATATAAAAGAGATTGGGCAGTAGACATATTTTGTTGTTGGAGCACTTTATGTGATATACAAAGTAATAAAACTGTAGTATTATAGGGTAGCAAAACAGTGAAAGAAAAAATGTAAATAGATTTTCTGTCACTGTAAAGTGAAAGAAAAAAATCAAGATAATAAAATCTTTTGTTGCTATAAAGTTTTTAAAATCCTCTGAGGTCTTTCATTATCAAAGAATCATAACTGTTGCAGCTAAGTGAAGATGAAGGAGAGAAAGTAAGTGGAGACAAAGATCAGGGTAAGTCCATGGTGTCTTGGCTCATTCAACGATGCATGGACTCTCTCCTTACACCTGACCATGAGGCTGTGAGGGGCATATACATACAAGTAAACAAACAAGTATTTTCTGTTGTTAAACACTTCTTTTTTTGGACATTTGAATATTTGGTAATGAGTAGGTGTGTTTTGGAAATTATGATTTTTTATTTTTGATTTTGATAATTGAAAGCCATTGATTTTCTGTATCAACAGGTTCAATTGCAATCACTAAAGGTGTTAAGTGCTTTAGTAAGTGAACACTTAAACATCATCCATCAAAGTCTGCCATTGATCCAGCATGTTATATCTGTGTGTAGCAAAGCCTTGAGAGAACCTGCCGAAGCTAAACCTGAGAGATGGGCACTTGAATCCTCAAATAAGCTTGAAGTGAATGATGTCATTGATCCAGCATTGATGTCACCAGATCCAGGTAGGTTTCATGAATTCATCTCATTTTATGTCTTTCTTTCTTTCACTCTAGTTGATATATGCATGTGTGTGTGTGTGTGTGTGTGTGTGTGTGTGTGTGTGTGTGTGTGTGTGTGTGTGTGTGTGTGTGTGTGTGTGTGTGTGTGTGTGTGTGTGTGTGTGTGTGTGTGTTTGTGTGTGTATGTGTATGTGTGTGTGCGTGTGTGTGTGTGTGTGTGTGTGTGTGTGTGTGTGTGTTTGTGTGTTTTTTGACCACATATAAGTTTGTGTGTGTTTTAAATATCTGGTGTTCTTTCAAGTAACTATATAACACTGTTGTTTCAGGTGTTGTGGTGGAGCATGCCTACACACTACTTGGATCCCTGTTAGGTGCTGTAAAAATAGAGCTTGAGAAAGGAACCAGCTCATGTGTGTCAGTAGACCAAGTGCAGCAGCTGTGGCTCTGGACATTACAGGTCAATTCATTGGCTTTCTGAGAGTTAATTGTTTTGATTTAAACATTTATCACAATATGTACCTGTTAAATTTATTTACAGTTTATATATCAGAATCTTCTAAAAGACATATTCATAATTTTCCTTGTATAGATTAGTATGTTTAACATAAAATTTTGTCTTTGAATTCACCCACAGGGTCCCCTGCACGGTCTACTGCAAATGGCTTCATCATTGGCAATAGATCATAATAACTTTTCAGATCCATCCAAAATCATAAAGCAAGATGCAGGTCCAGGTGAGAAAATTTGCCCTATAGAGGGGGTAGAAATGTTTTAAATTATAGTAAAAAGAATTAAAAAATCCCTCTACAATCAAGTGGAATTTAAATATTAGGAACATTTAGTATAGGCCCTATCAGATATAGGGCATGGTACATCCTGATGATATGCATGCAAAGGCACAAATCTGTATGATAATGAATAATCATAAAACAAAAACTGTATTGCTATCTTGCCCCCAACCTGATTACTTGCAATGAAAATGTTAAAGTAATGAATTGGGGATTTAGTGGCATTTTGAAAAATGCCAGATGTTTTTGTGAAATAAAAATAGTTGAGTATGTTCCAGAAATAAGTAAAACAAAACAATAAAACTAGAAATGTATTTTTAGAGGGACCAGATTATCTTCAGGGTGTCAGTCACACCCCAGCTCTGGGAGGGGGATCACTTTGATCCAAGAGAAACACAATTTATTTCTCTCCAAAAGGCCAAAATAATAATTCCACTGTCATAGATATATGTATTTTTGTAGGCGATTAAATGGGAACATGGAGGCCAATTTAGAATAAACAAGAGGACTGAGAGCAATGATAATTTCCTGTTAAATAAGTTTGATGTGTTCATTTCCAGACATGTTAAAGCAAGAGACTGAGAACTGGAGAAACAAAGAGGAAGTGGAAATATTAGAGAACCAGGATCACCATAAACAGTTGGTGGCTACTGCTACTGTCCTGTCACACTTCAGTCCCACAGTATGTAATTCTGACCTTACTTACCTGTTTTCATTGATTAATCCCTTTCTTCACTGACATAGGAACTGCATTCCATTTTGATTTTATTTTAGTAAGCGCCACTGAGCATGGAGTCACCTTCTCACTCTCTAATAATAATAATAATCAAATCAAATCACACAAGTCATCAAATAGGCTTTATCAATGCTGCAGCAGCCTGAAACTATAGCTTAGAGTTTATGTCAGCTCTTTATTTTCTTTACACTCTATGGTAAATATATTATGGTTTCATAAGAGGACAAAAAAGAATTATTTTCTAATAATTATTTACTTTTCAAAATTAATTGGGAAAAAAAATAATCATCAATAACAAAAGAATGCAAGAAGTAAAAGGTATGTGAAAGGTATCCCTTGCCTACAGCTGAGAATACCACAGCTCACAGCAACCATATTGGCATAGCAGGCACATTGCATCTGCTGCACACAATGTGCCTCACTTCTTCCCAGTTGGTGTTAACTTCCTGTACCATTGGCAATTTAGAACAGGAAGTGGCATCTAGATGTGTTCTGTTGCTCATGAAGTTGGCATTGTTTAGAGACAGTTGTTGGATGCCCTGGATGACTTGCTTTACTGCTGTTATTTTAGTGAGTAATAGAGTAATTACAGTCATTTTAATGATAACCCCTATCATTAGTCACCAAATACAAGAAGACTATTATCCATAGAGTAATAAAAATACATAGTCTTTCTTTAACCATCAAATACAACTTGAAACCAAGACTAAAACCTGACCTTCAATACAGTGTCACCATTGGTTTTGAGATTCTTTCCATTTTGTGATTAATCAGGAGTGAAAACACCCTGAGTTCCTCCTCGTCCCTCTTTGTCTTCTTGGCCAGGTAATTTATCTTGACCTCTTCTCAC